CGAACTGACTGTAGTCAACGAGAAATCAGTAAAACAAACTAATAGTATTAAGGGTCTTTCCGAAGACTTGAAAATGTACAAAGATAAATTACGGAGCTCAGATGAAAAGCTCAAGAAAACCTCTGTGAGTAAACTTTTTCTGTTACTTGTTTAATTTGTAAACGTAATTAAACATAAAAACATCTTATATTTCTTACAGACGGATTGCCATACTTACTTGACTGCGATAAAGAATATGTACCATGTAGCGACCAAAGCGTTGCAGAGTGAGAGAAAAGTAGAGGTAGTAGAAATTCAAGATGAAAAAGTTAGCGGAGAGATAAACGGCTCTGAGATGGAAAGTAAATTTAAAACTGATACCAGGTGGGGAGATAACAAAGTCCAAGTGAAAAAGGAACCCATCGATGTAGACAAGGATAAAAAATCTGACAATAAAACTTCTATCAAGAGAGAAATTGTCGAAGCGGATAAGGAGAAGAAATAATTACATTAGTTATTTATCATAATATAGACAACATACGCACCACGAATAAAAAAAAGTTAATCTTATTTCACATGTACGTGTGTGCATGTACGTATGCTGTTAGTGATAAAAAAAAAGAAAAATAAAACAGATGCAAATATCAAGTGGTTTATCCAACACCAATAAGTGATCGGGACTCGATTTTGTAACTTTTTTCACTCGAGTGATAATATATTGTGGCATCTTCAATAATAAAAAAAAAGAGAAGCACTTCAATCATAACAATTCATAGGTCGTTAAAATATCTTACGCAATTTTTTGCATCATTCAAAATAAATGGATAAATTTTAAAAAGGGTTTATAAAGTACCATTGATCTGCCATTAAGTGCCAGATATTGATACACCGATATTTATCATTATAGATTCAAAAGTAAATCAACATCACGGTTATTTAACTCAGATAAAAAGATTTGTACTGGAAATAATAGTACAAACATGAAAAAGATTGCGTTTCTATCATTATTTCACTGCTTGTTCATCTTACGCGTACATGAAATCATTTCTAAAATAAAACTTATTTATAAGAGTATGTTTGGAACCTTTTTGTGTCTTTTAAACTTAAGTTATAATTAATATAATATTATAATATTAAAATACATTTTTGTTCATTATTTTTTATGTATCATTCATTATTTTTTAAACAATATATGTTTCTTAATGAAGACAGATTGATAATTTTAATTGCTCTAACATATATTATTTAGCGCAATAAACATTTAATGCAATAAATATAATACAAAAAAATGATAAAGTTACATATTTGTTTTCAGAAATGTCTGTATTATTGCGTTTTTATTGAATTTTGCGGAATTCTCTCTATATCGTGCGCTGCTAGTCGATGTTTATAATATAATTAGCACAGCACAAAGTATTTTAAAAAAAGTTCCTTTCGAATGCGTTTATTTGTAAAAAATTATCAAAATTGTTTAAAAGTAACAAAAAAAATAATTTTTCTATAATTTCTAGAGTAATGAATCGTTTGTTACTGTGTAGCAATAAAAATAATTTCTTTTCGTTCTAGATGAGAAAATGTGTACAGTTTCGAAACAATTCAAATCAATGAGCGTTTCTTTTCATAGCCTAAGCTAGTTTAAATACGATAAATTCATATATAAATTTATATATATAATATACTTTAAGTTACTCATTGTACGTCCAGCAGAGTGTCAAACACATTTATCCAAAAATTATATACACAAAAACGTGTTCTCGAGCGTAAGCGATCATGCGTGATCGCGCGTTCCACTCCCAATTTTGCAGTTTACAACTCACGATGCCAAGGATACTATTTTGTACATAGTTTATCTACTATATAGAAATTTTTTGTAGTTTATTAATAGAAGGCCACATTCTTGTCAAAAAAAGGGAGTAAAAGGTAGTACTATACGAGATTATAAAATAAAATGCGCGAACAATTTTGAATCTGTGTATGTTAAGAGTCAAATCTTCTTAAAAAGAAAATTGTAATTATCTCCTTGGGCACATAGTAGTCAAGAATACAATGGTAACAATAAAAATTGTTTAAACAGTGACGTGTAATTTATGATGCATATTGATTCACTCTCGAATACAAATTAATTTTATTTTACATTTATTCGGTATATTAAAATTTAACGTAGTTGCGTATATTTAACTCGATATTATCTTACTTTCCAGTTCTCTATATTACTTTCCAGTTGAATTCAATATTATACAATGAAATTTAAAGTAAATATAGAAAAAAAACTGAGTTTTTTAATTTATCACATAGTTTTTCGTAATATCTGATGAAATGTATTAAAATTTACACACGGAATCTTTTTAGAATGCATACAATTTTATCGTATTTACTCTAATTTTATTATATCGTTTTGTACGTGGAGTTTGAAGTTTTTGAACTTTTCAAGAACGTTTTATGAGCTAAGAAAATAAAGTGAGAGTAGGATAAAGTTAAAAGAACAGTTATTCCCAACGTCATCTACACATTATTCCCAATATCAATAACATTTAATTTTAAAATTTTGTTTAATTTGTTTAGATACATGTATACGCGCGGCGCGTATGAACTCACTGTAGATGACATTCAAGAATGAAACTTTAGAGATTGATGCATACGAAAATTATCTTTATTTGCAGAAAATAGGTAAATTCATGTATTAATATTCATGTATTAATATAGGTAAATTCATGTATTTACATGATTTAGAAAGCATTAGACCCCGAGATAATAACTTTATTTATATCTTCAATCTCGTAAAATGATAGGAAGGAGAATTAATGTCATTCTGAACATTTCTCGCCTATCTTCTCAAGCAATTCCTTATTATCGCGAATCATTTTTTCCAAACGTTCCTTTGTTGCCTGCGTCTGCCTCTGCTCCAGTTTACGTTTAGCAGACTCTATTGTGGTTCGATATCCTGTAACGTTACGGAAAATTTTGATGTGCTTATCGCCCGCAGCCAACAGATATTCTCCCATAGCATCAAATACCAAGCATGTTATGGATCCTGTAAAAGATATTGAAGAATTCGTCAAGTTCTTTCAAATCCACATTGCTAAAACCATCCTCATAGAAATTTAAAACGGTGCTTTTAGTACAGAATAAGTAGTTAATCATTACCTTCCAATATTAAATTAGATTTCTATAAAGGCAACAATTGAATTATAATTTTACCAAGGAAAATATCTTCTATGGTAGTATCCAGAACACCGGTAATAGTGGAGTAGAAGGATATAGATGATCCATGGGCGATCACGAGGACTTCCGCGTTCGGAGATAAGGCAAGGCTTGCTGGTGCAGTGGTGTTCCAGGTACCAGTCATCAAAACATGTGGATCTTCTCCTTTTTCAAATTCGACTGGAAAAGAACAAGCGCGTAAGAATTTTATATATTTCACGCTTAAATCCATCATTTATCCATCATTTAGGAATTTATTACTTTTTGTATTGTAGAAACGATACGTTCCATCCTTGGACACGGTAGCCATGTGACTGGTGTCGGCGCTGAAACCGAAGTCGTGAACCCCGGATGAGTGCCCGGCGAGGTCAAACGCTTTAGCCACCGTCTTGAACTCTCCGGATTTACTGAAGACCACCTCCCATACATTCACGTCCGGTGTAAAACCTTACGAATGGATTGATCTTATTAAAATATTTGTATATTTTTCTCATGCTATAAAATGATGTAACTTCGATTCAAAATTTTTAAAAATGTCTAGCTAGCACACATATCCAAAATCACAAGATGTCTTTAAGACGTTATCTCATTTTACAGTAGTTGGAATTAATTATATTTGATTACAGCAAAATGCTTTTTTACCTGAGGCAGCAACAAATCGGCCACAAGGTGATATGCGCGCACGATAAGTAGATCCTAAATGCATTTCCACCGTTGCTAGCGTCTGTCCTTTCAAATCCCAAATAATAAGATCGTTCATTTTACTGCACGTGATGATGTACTTCCCAGTGCACGCGATATCCATTCCAACGACATCCTCAGTGTGATGCTATAGTAATAAAAAAAATTGATACATAAAACATAAACGAATTCCACAAAATAGTAAATTTCATAAGTATGACTATGTGAATAATCTTAAGAGATCGAGCATAAATAAAATATATACATTAATTATATTCATCAAAAGTTAGAAAGTCTATAAGAATCTAAAACTTTACAATACAATTATTCTAATATTAATTATTGTAAATAAAACAAAATAATTCACGCACAATAACTGCTGGTTGGTTCTCTAGGCTTTTTTCTAACTTTGAATTATTATTACAGAGCCTTATTTTAACAATAATATTCTATTATTATAACATTTTGAAAAGATCTGTCTAAGAAAAATGTAAGCAAAATAAAGAAATATCTTAAACAAATAACATAGAGACAAGATCATAGTACCTGTGGAAACTCCAGAGCCTTAGTCGCAGAGGCCAAGTGACCATCCGATTTCTTCGCGATCTTGTATACCTCGATGGCATTAGCCACGGCCTTGTGAATAATAAACGCTTTTCCATCCGGGGACCAACGTATCAAAGTTGCGTGATCAAATTCTATGTTAATACGTAGAGATTTGCGATCTTTCGATGTAAAGTCTTTCGTGTACCACAACAACACAGTACGATCTGCAATAGTGCAAAATATGGAAATAAGTAGGATGAATTTGAGCTACATAAAAGAATTCTTAATTACGTTATCTTTACTACTGAACTGCCGACATTTTTCGATTTTCTCAAAGAAACAAAGTTCATAAACAAATTTGATTTTATTCTTATTTTTTTTATGAGAATTTATTTTTTTTTCTCGATTATATTCTTTATTCCAGAAAATAATATTATATATAGAATAAAATATATAAAATAGTAGAATAATAATTGTAATATTAATCTTGAACAAATTGACAAAAATCAAAGAAATACAATTGATCTTTTGCAACTTTATTAATTAGGAATATTAATTAAGTAATACGGGATAAATAATTAATAAATCGTAAATATTATTACAAAACCTTTTTATTCAACAATGAATAGTCTTAATTCAAAATATGCGTGATACAAATGTGCGTTGAAACAAATTGAAATAACCTGATGAAAAGATAATCCTGATCAAGAACGGTATATTTATCACAAAATTAATTAGGAATTATCGTAAATATTTCATTGATCTTACATGCATGTCGTTTTCTTCTCTATTCTCTAACAAAAATCATACCATGCACTTCGTTATCTTCAACCTATTTAACATTCCTAAAAATCAAATTGATTGAAAGTAGCTAAAATTAATTTAAATCTCTATGATAAACTCCCCGCATTCTAATTAAATAAATATAGATCATTCTAAGTCTTCATTCTTCGACATTGCAGAGATATAAAAATCTTGATACATTTACAATCAATGATAATAACATGATATAACCCATCTAAGGTAAATTAGGTTTTTTGTTTGGTGGTGGCATAAGTTCTGAATCATCTCGTGCAAATCTGTATTTCTCGATATAGTCTAAAAGCCGTTCCTTCGTAACGGGTTTGTTGATGCTTTTGCACACAGACTCGGCAGTTTTAATGGAATTAGGAAACGACTTGTCTATTCGCTGACGCATGAAGACCCATTGACCATTTTCGAATTTGCACTCGACAATCGCGTTGTCCAAATCTCTCATATGCTTGGTAATCTTTATCGTGCCATACGGCGTATTCAGTCCTCCTACAAAAAGATGACCAATCTTTCGCGGCAGAATTCCCATGCCGGATTCCGTAACGATTTTCAGTTTAAAATCTACGGAGTTTAACGACAATGGTTTCCATTTTAAAACTTCGATGCACACTCCCGAGCAGTACTTTTCCTTGGCAGGTTGAAATATTAAGCCATCTGGTTCGTGAGAAAGCTGTTTAGCAAATTTTTCACCCAACAGATTTTTGCTCTGTGTTACGTCCCAAAAATATTTCAATCGCACGGAGAATGGTTCCCGTTCCTTTATTAATCGTCCCTCCTTCATAGCTCTTAGTCTACCAGCAATTATTTTATTTTCGATAATGGAGTAACGATCAGGATGGAACGGTAATTTACTAACATCTTGTCCATCGTACATGATAACGTCGTAAACTAAATATCTAGGAATATTTTTGCCCCTATCTTTGTCGATTACCATTTCCTGTAAAATTATGATTCCATAAATACAATTCCAATCATTCATTTTTACAGTTCTTAAAATAGCTTTCAATACATAGCTATAACTTACACCGTCCATCAGAGTATCTCTCAAATTTCGATTTTCTCGTACATGAGGAAATGTCAGTCCAGTTACTTCAAAAACGCTGTTTTCCCTATCTATAAAAAATATCTCTCCATCACCTTGTACTAACATCATGTATCTAAACAAAAAAACAATTGAATTACAAAGCTTTTAAATATAATATGTATATGTTTATATATGGAAGCAATATCAAGAAACAGTTAATGTGTACAAATAAATTTCTAACTGACCTTGTGCCATCAGCTTTCCAAGATACTCTGTATGGCTTTGTATGTAACAGCATTATATTGTCACAATCCATGGATACAGGCTGAGAACCAGGAAATCCTGAATCCTTCCATCCGCAGATGTCTTGGACTCGCCTCTGGATTCCAAATAGCTTCTTTTTTTCTAAGATAGGAGTAACACCAGGTACGCCAGCCATAAAAATTGGATTTTTATTAAAAATTTCACGTCTCTTCCTCTTGCCTTTCTCATCCTGACAATCTTCGTTCTCCCTGCTTGGTCCTTCATCTGTGTCCGGAATATTGGAATCATCATATTCGAGACACCACGCCGGTCTCGCAGGTGGAGGTGGAGCATCTGCCTCATCGTCATACCGTTTATACAGCTCCTTTATATAATCGGCTTTGTAAATTCCAGGAGGTCTTGCAGTGGCAAACTCTGCTAAGCCAGCATCAACACTGGTATTGTCTATCTCCACTAAGTAACTGATTATAAGAAAGCCAGTCCTGTTGAAACCATGTGTGCAGTGTACGCCAATGATCTCTAATGGATTGTGAGCAATGAAACTACTACAGAGTTGTACAAAGGCTCGAGTCTGCTCCTCGGACGGAGTCTCGCCATGACCACGACATTGCAATTTCACATAGCTACAATTGTAATCCTCTATGGTATCTTTATCGTAAAACCTTGATGTGTTAGTCAAATCTATCCACAAGCCCATCTTCAGTTTCTGACTTTTCAAATTTTCGAAGAACATATCTACAGTGAATCGACAACCCTCGGGCACCTGGCTGTCGTAGGCCGAAGACAAAGGCGTTTTAAAAGCTAAAAACTTGCCTTGAATCAACCTCATCGCTTTGCGTGGACAATCGAGCCAGCGAGGTGGAACTCCACGACCAATTCTGTTCTCGCTCGACATTTTTGGTCGATCAACTTGTTAAGGACGAAGCATACAATGTAGAAAAGATGTAGAAAAAGAGATATGCAATGCGTCGTAGTTTTGAGTTCTTCAACGAACAGTCCAGCATTTGGACTCGCTTGATGTCAACGAAAGGTAATAGTTACTCAACCAGAAGTTTCGCGGTCTAACCTACTTCTTCGCCTTTCGAGCGTCCGTCTCGCGGCGAGACTTCCCGGCGTACCTTCGCTACGTTACGAAGTTGTACTTGGCCCGAAGCCGGAAGAAAAAACTTTGGAATTAAAACCGGCGATCTTAATCCATAATTGTGGAATATCACCAAAACATGCGGTAAGTAACGATATCAACCATGGTGTCCGCCATTGCGTGTACTGCGCGTCTTCACGTCGTAGACTGACATTCGATTTTCTATCGATAAATTCTCGATTATTCTCGATTTTGTCGTCATTGCGATTGCGGCGCGCGAAATATAAATATCGAATTTCGCGAAAGAGAGAAATAGCGGACAAGAATTGAGACGAGTTTTTCAAATTATTAAATATTATAAATATAGTATTAATACAAAAGGCGACGTGAATTAATTTAGATTTCTCGCTATCCAAAAGATTAGTCATCTCATGATGTAATAATATCCATAAATGAGCAATAAATCACTCTCTGAACTATCAAATTTATATTGGAATTCTCTGACATCTTATCGATCATTGTCGCAATCGTTAACTAGCGATAACTAATGAGAACCGCGTTTTTTTCCAGGATTGTCCTTGCTATTGACTTATAGTAATATAGTAACGATATAATTAATGATCGTATATGTTCTTTCTTTTCAAGAATAAGGGTCATGATTTTTTACATTATGATAAGACAGATATAATAATTACTTCATTATTATTATTCTTTTATCTAATTCGTTATTTTTTTTTTGTTTTCTTAAATTAAGAATCGTTTGAAAAAAATTAATGAGCCATGAGTTCGAATTTTAAAAACTAAGTTCTGAGAATTTGAAATTCAATAGAAAATTCAGTTGCGTTGCTTTGCATCAATTATACGCGCTCTAAGAGGTTGTACGTAAATGTATGTATCTTCTTTTCAACAAGCGACACGATGATTATGTCATCTTTGTTTAACATTAGCGAACAAAAAGGATGTAATAATCCATTGTGTCATACCGTGACACTTGTGTCGCTTGTTGGAAGGCATTATACCTAATACGTGCACTTCGATCGATAAAACATCGACATTCCGTTAAAAATATAATGACAATTTATCAATCGAGACATTATATATTTATTACTTTATGTGCATATTATACAATTCGAATTTATATTGAGTACTTTCCATTTAAAGTACAAAATTTTTCTCATAATTTTTATACGAATCGAAACATTTTTCAAAAATACTCAGAAATATTCGGACAGTTTATATTTTCTCTAGAATTTTTCATACAAGTGAATTCTGAAATATTTTAAAAATTCCTCATCCCGTATTTAAATCCCGTTTAATTAAAAAAAAATATTTTTAAATTTTTTAGATTTTATAATCATCAGAAATTACACTTACAAAAAATCTTAGAAATCTTACGATATTTTATAATTAACATATATATGAAAGAAAAATATGGAAGAAAAATTCTGAGAAAAGATATGGATTTTCTGAGAAATGTTACAATTCGTATAAAAAATGTGAGAAAGATGTATTATAACATTATATAGAAATTCTGAGAAAAATTTTCACCAAGGTGATAGAAATCAACATAACCCAGTGAGAAATAACAATAGAATTGATGTCGAATCGACGTCAATTTGGTGATTTCGACATCGAATTTGGTGATTTCGACATCGATTTAAAGTCGATTCCATTGTTATTTCTCACTAGGTTCTATCTTTTTTTGTATTCCATGAACAAACCCAGCAAACGAGAATGAATTGAAATGAATTGAAATAGATTCAGATTTTCAGAAATATTGATTCACGAATGTTAAATGAATGCTTTTCAATTCTGAATGCATTTTTATTCATTTATAGGAATTGCATGGAGCATATCTCTATGTCTTTCAATCTAAAAATAATTAGCTTTTTCAATCTAAAAATAATTAGCTTTTTCTGTGCAAAAACACAATTGTGAATACTGTTCAACTTTTGCTGTTCAAAATTTTGAATAGGAAATGCAGTTTTTCAATCCAATTGCATCCAATTGAATCTAATTGAATCCAATTGAATCCAATCAAATCCAAAAAAAATTCGCTATTTAAAAAAAATACTCATTCGGATAGAAAAAAATTTCAATCCATTTTAATCCATTCTGATTTGCTGGGAAGACAGAACAATACTGTGTCGACTTATCTCACTAAATGGAAGGCACCTATTATATGCGAAATACATGAAAATTTATGCAATTGTATAACATAACGTGTATAATTCATACACTTCGCCAAAACCTTTCTATTTATTTAAAGAAAAGAGATAAGATTTTAGAAATGGGGAAAAGACGCCGAGAACGATTTCTCGATATCGAAGAATGATAGAAGAATGCAAGAATTTAGAAATCGAGCCTCAGACATTCAATCTTTCAGTAATCAAAATATGTACGTTAATATACATTAATTGTGTACGTACATACACATTAACCGCTTCCTTCAATATTATAAATATTATAATAGCCACGATCACGGTCACGATCGGAAATAGAAAATATGAGAAGGCGAGGGAGCGATGAACGATTCGAGGTAAACGCGCAAATATAACAGCAAGGAAAATGACTGTGGTTCATCGGCGCAAAAAAATATTCTGACCTTGAAGACCTGGTGTGCATCGGCGCCACGGCCGTGTCACGATCCTTTTTATTTCGCGCCGTGCACGAATTTAGCCGCGTTAAAAGCTGCTCCGGTGAATAATTCACGGAGTGAACAACTTCGTTGAATCATGTGACTCATTGTCGATTCGGGCGAACGGATGCTACACGATACTCGGAAGACGCGATTATCCGAGGCGACGAGGAATTCTTTTCGAGCGTGTCGTGGGATCGTCGCGCAGTGAAATTCCGATGGAAACAATTAACGTGATTCTTACCGTTTTCGGGAAGAAGAAAGGAAGCCTCGTTCGAGATTCAGCCGGTCGTCATTTAAATTTTAATTAAATTTTAATTTAATTAAATTTAATCATTTCAATTATTTTTTACTTATTTTCTTTATTCAAATAATTATCGAAGATACTTACTTCAAATGTAAAAAGAGAGAACGATATTTTCGATACAATTTAATAATCGATTTTCGATTTTCGATTTTTATTAAAAATAAACATTAACTGTAAAATATCAAAAGTGAATTAACTTAACTTCATAAAAAATTATCAAAATCATCACATCTCGAAAAAGATAGTTAAATTTTTCAAAAGTTGCAAAATAAAAGTAACAAAAATTAGTGACATTTAATCATGTTAAGAATATTGTTTTTTTTTTTTACGATTAATCAATAAATTTCTGTCAAGTGTACAAATAATTCTTTCTTTTTATAGGAGAAAATTGATCTTTTGTTTTGCAGTTGAGTTGTTTTGCAAATAACAGGAGAAATTGAAAATGAAAGAATGAATCAATCAGAATTCTAATTATCTCAATTAGAAATTGAATTCATTATTTGAATTCTGATTGATATTCGACAGGAAATTTCTTTCATGCACAATAAAAGAATCAAATTTCCCAGAAAAAGAAAAGGACTATTTTTCAACTTGGCAGAAAATTATTGAAAATTAGATATTTATTATAATTATTAAGATAATATATTTCAATCAAAATTTCAATTAATCCAATCAGACTTATTTTAAAAATGTGTCATTTTTTAAAATAAGAGACCGATATATATAATGAACAATTTATAAAAACAATATATTAAAGGATTTATAGAAACAATATAAAAAAGAATAAAGATTTCAAATAGATAAATAAAAAAATTCCAATAAAACCCATAAGAGAATCGAAGAAATATATTTTTCAAAATTAAATACAGATGTTTCGACTTTCAGAGGGTTTCGGTCTTTTTCAATATAATATTGCATGACAAGTTAACAATTTCGCTCTATAGTAAACCATTAAATTTGTCAAATTAAATAATTACAAAACGTTGTCGAACCGGTAAGTTCACGTTTGATGATTTTTTTAGACATTAAATTTATAATGTTTCTGGTTCGAACGTTTTGTAATTATTCAATTTAACAATTCTAATAGTTTACTGTACGAAATTGCTATTGGGCTAATGTCAATATTATACTGAAGAAGTTCGAAACCGAAAATCAAAACATCTGTATTTATAATTTCGAATAATATACTTTCAACACACGTTTGTCCTCTATCAGTTCTTATAGGCTTTATTTTTTGAACGATTTAAATCATTCGGAGAATACAAACTCTGTTTCGCTTCCACGACGCGAAATCGTGGTCCGGAACCGTCGGACAAATTGACAGGCGGCACGAATGGAAAAGCAAAGATCTTCGTGTGCGCGTTATGACACACGATGCGGTCGGAGAAAGCGCAAACGTGTCTTTCTATTTGACGTCTCGTTAAGGAGAGCTCCAACGAGCCGGCCGGTATCGGCAATGCTTAACGCCATGCGTCGGATTTAATACAGATTGACTGCAATATGATCGACCTGGGCACGTATTATGAAACTGTCCGGAATGGATTCCGATCGGAATCATCCGCATCCTTCTTATAAAACAATATACTAAAGAGAAAAATACTAAATTTTAATAAATAAATAAGTATTTAATATTTATTTGAATAGTACCAATTAAATTAACATTTAATTAAAGCAAAAAAATATTTACTCAATAAAAAAATGTTAAAAAGTTAAATGAAATTAATAATTCTCATATCAAATAAATATATCTTTATATCTTTACTAAATATTTTAATTAGTATTATTGTTAAAATAAATAATTTATTTAAATTTAGTACATTTTTTCAGCGTAAAAAATTATCTAGGAAATGATAATCCGATCCATTCTCTAATATACCTCGCTCCTTTCGAAAACCACGGCGAAAATACTTTAATTGGAGACCAACTTCCTCCGGAAACTCATATATGCGGATAGTTATGCGCGTGAGTCCCGATAACAACGAATAAAGATCGTCGTACCTCGATAAACGCTAAACCAAAAGGAAGTTCGCAACATATAAACATCTTATCTTGCGATATGTAAGACGAACTTTACTTGCGGCTTCTTCGAACGATAGAAAAAACTTTGTTTAGTCATCGCAATTTCGAGAAACGAGAGGGACGTAGATGCAACAAAGTAAAAAACTTTACGAAATAAATCTTACTTTAGGTACTAATTATGTGATATGAAACAGATATGAATTTTTCATTTTATTAACACACCTTTCAGATCTCTAGATTTATTACG